CTAAAGGCACATGTAAACAAAATGCAGTTAATCAACTTAGAAATCCTAAAGCTTAAAGCTTTTCTATATTCAGTTTTGTAATTTGAAGAGTTGTAGCGAAAGCTATGTAAAAACAATCTACTTCTATAAGCTTTTATGCACTTATTTCTTCTCTCAGATTTCGATATAATTTTGAAAGCTTATAAAAGCTTTTAAGTCACGCTTTTACTCATTCACTTATTTTCTTAGCTTTCGATAAGATCTTGAAAGCTCATTTCAGCTTTTCGATCAACTTCAAAGCTAGCTTAATATATCAATAACAAATGATTGGAAGCATCATAACTTCGCTCTTCTTGCCATGCTTTGAACCACTGTACAAATGGTCGTTGCAGGTACACCTCTGTGCACTGGCTGTTAGTGAAATGCGAATGGCTGTATAATGTTGTTAGCTCTGGCCAATTGTTGAACGGAAATCGTTCATGCAGAAGATGTAAATACAGATGTGCGAAAAGTCAATGTGTGAGCAGCTTTTGTCATTGTTCATGTGTCAAAACAACGAGACACATGAGTGCACAGGGCGCGCAATTTGAATAAAAAATCATTGATGGCCACGCTTGAATATTGAATAGCTTTCGTTGTGCTGCAAGCTGCCAGAGCTGCGCCAAATGATGCATTTAAGTTGATTGAGTTTTTAAAGAGCTTGCGACTTTAGAAGTGGCAGCTCTTGACGAGTTGTAGATTGCATTTCTTCGCTGCAATGGATGCCACCAAATTGAATTACTTTCGAGAGGGCCTCTCCACTGTTCAGCTTAGAACGAAACTTTAACTATCGCATGGACTCGACTCGCATTGAATGAAGTTGGCGAGCAAATCTTATTTACAATGTTTTTCATCTTGGCTTACAAATTGAAATACTTTTTCAATTGTTGCAGCGCGCGCGCGCGTTCAGTTTTCAGCTTTCAGCTTTCACAGATATTGCAAGTTTCCTCGACTTTCTTGTTTGCCTTCAGCTGATGTCACACAATGGATAAAGTTTTGGTTATACCTAATACGCATTGACGTCATAAGAGACTGAGAGCAGAGGGCGGCAGGACTGCACTTCTATTCCAGCTGCAATTAAAGGCCAAACATGAAATTTATGTCACGTCTCAGACATGGAGCAAGCAGACATTTTCCAGGCGCCTCACATACACACAGCGCTCGCTAGCCAGCCATTAAAATGTTTGTCATTCCCATTTCGAACACTGCGTACAGTTTTTTCCAAGTGGTTGATGTTCCGAACGTGATGTTTCGCCTAAACTGCCGCCTCCCATTGCCGTCACGTGGCCCCGAGGCCCGAAAATGCCAACTGCCTAACCAGAGGTCCCAACCCAAAATGGCCGCAGTTAATCAAAGTTGGGTTTTTAAGTCCCTAAATTGAAGATATTTTTTTTAATTTACAGTAATATTTGATGGCTATGAAATGGAAGTTTTTGTTGACAGTTTTTTTAGGAGAGAAAGTGATAAGAGAGAAAGAGATTTGCCTCTTTAACAATTGAGAAATTTAAAATAATTTATTTGATTTTTGATAATTTTGTTTATTTTTTTTAGTTTCATTTACTTTTAAGATTCGGAGATTAATTTTTATTGAATGAGATACAGCATTTTGTGCTGAACTGGCGCATTTGACTGAATATTCTTATCTAATGGGAACATCATTCTAACAAATAAACATTACTTGCTGTTCTCTGATGGCCTTCTTATCCAAAACATTCTTACAAATTAGCAGTCCTTCTCCTAAATTTACCCTATCTCTATTGCCATGGTCACAACTCTTTTTCGGATGCTCTTAAATACCTCAATGCTCACACGCATTATAAATAGACAGAACAGATGCTTTAGATAACTCTTTAGCTTTTGTTTGTTATTCAAAACAAATAATTGTTGATAAATTTATAAATAAATTACTACATTTATTTCAAACTACCTGGCATTGCCAGTTTTTCCAGGCAAAGCAAATGAAATGAAGAATGTTTTATTAATGATTAATATATGTATATATATATTATATATATAAATATATAATTTGACGTGATGTGAGTTTCTTATGAAAATTGAAATATATTTTCCACATTTATTCGTATAAAGTTTTTTTCATTTAAGTTACATACACAACTCTTAAGCAGATTGTCATTAATATGAACTGTAATGCCGCAAGAGTATTACATTTTTTTTGTGTATTTTTTTGCCTTGCCGCAGATTAGCAATTGTAAATGTTTCTCTTTGCCCAAGATTTAAATTATTTTTTTTTTTATGACTCTGGCTCTGTATCTTTGCGGCGATTCAATTTAATTAAAATTATTTTTGCCAGTTTTAAATAAAATATAAATATTTAAAGATTAAAAACGCCTATCGCTGCAGTCAGTTGGCCAATACAAACAAACATAAATTACTGGCTCAATATTGTCGTTCTGAGTGTGTGTGAGTGTGTAAATATAATACGTTAAATCGGAATTGTAAATGGTAAATTTCCATTTATGGGCAGCCTTAACCCAGAGCAAAATTTTTGGGCCAAATCTATTAATACAAATACACACACACAGAGAGTGACTGGGCCTAAAGCAAAAAGGATTGCTGGCAAAATATAAGCGAAGAAAAACGAAATTGTATTTCATGGAAAATTAAATTTTCGGCACACAAATTCAATGGTCAAGGCATAAACATTTTGGTTACCTCTCGCTCTGATGCTCTCTCCCTCGCTCCGATACTGTCCCCCTCTCTGTCTTGCCTTTGCTTTGTGCATGTGGAATAAATGCGCCGTAGAGTTTTTCTGACTTTTCTCTGCTCGTTTTGATGGGGTTTTGCTAGCGCACATCTCTCTCTCTCTCTCTCTCTGTGTAAGTGTGTAAGCTGACAGCCTGGCGAATTGCGAGGGCAGACATGTTCATAGCTCCTGTGCTTGTTGTTGCATTTGTTGTAGTTGTCGTTACATGTCCATTGATGGAAAATCAATTGAATTTTGTACTTGGCCGGGGCACTGGGACGGACCATCGACCGACCAAGCGACCGCTCTCCAATCAATTCCTGCTGCAGCAGGTTCATTTCAATCTTGCTGCAGTTATAACTTTTTTGCAACAATTACTTGACTACACTTACAATTTTCAGGAGAGAAGTGAACAGGGCACGTTTTGCCAACAATTTGTTATTGTTCCTGGTAATTGAGGCACTCGAAAATGGCAAAAAGGAAAATCTCGTCCTTAATATGATTTGCTGCTGCAGGCACAATGCAGGACATACGCCACTGTGAATTAAGCCAATAAAAATTCCAATTCTGAGAGTCATCTTCTGGCACTCGGCAAGCATTTGCCAGCTTCATCAGCTGTCATCGGCCGTTCAGTCAAAGTTTTCTCTTCTCTTCATTTTTTTTTTATTTTTGGACTCCGCTTCAATCACTTTCTCATAGTTTGCTGTGCACAACCTTGACATATGCCACGCCCATTGCGGGGCTGAAAAATGTGTCTTTAAACTTGAACGCTTCGTTGGTTTCCAGAGCTCTCAAGCACCCCACAGCCCAGCCAGCTACCTATCTCTTGTCTCTCTCTTGCCCCTCTCTCTCTGTGTGGGGGCTTTTCTAGTTCACAAAATTTTCTTATTACTTTACGCTTCAAGTAATTTTCCCACACTTGCGCTTAATTTAATTTTTGCTACCCACTTCTCGTTCTTAGTTATTTTCCCTTTTAGTTGCAAGTGGCAAGTGGCAAGTGGCAAGTGGCAAGTCGCAAGTTGCGCGTTGCGAGTTGCCGTTGCACATAGTTTGATGTGGCGGCATTAGTTGCCTGCGTCGACTCGAGTAAAAGTTTAACAAATTCAACCAAGTTTCTTCCTCTCCCTCTTTTGTTGTCTGTCTCTGTCTCTGGGTCTCCTTCCCATGCTTAATTAGAGCTTGATATATGAAGGTGTAGCAACAAATTGCCAGCTCGATCGTCATGTAAAATCGGCACAAACTTTGAATTAGCATTTGCTGCAAGAAATTGCACCACAAACTTTGTTTCGCCCCCATTCGAAATTCAAATTTGTTACCTGCCTAAATAAATATACCTACAGGAGTTTTCCAGAGTCTGCTAGAAATACATGAGATGTGTGTGTAAATAACTTTAATCTCAGTGATGCTGGCTGAGAATTAAGATATGTGAGCTATGTTTTTAGCTCTATCTCCATCTATTATTTTCTATTTACGAAATATAAATTCTTTCTATATACAAAATATAACTTTAAGCAAATCAATTTGATAAATTATCTTGTTAGCCGCTGTAATCCACGCGTGAGCTGGCGCCACAGGTAGCGTCCGCAGGTGGTGCGCTGCAGCTGTCTATGCATAGAGTGTGAGAAGCGCTTGTCAGTGGCTCACAAGTCTCTATTAAAATTTACGTTTGTTAAGAGCAATACTTACTTTGATGTATGGAGAATACTTGAAAACTATCAAGCAACGTGGCTTGAACCGCTCAGGCAGATATGAATAAACTTTAACATTGATTCTAAAGTAACTGAGAGCTAAGTAAATTTTACAGGGTATAATCTGTTAGTCATTTTCCTAACCACTGCCAATAGTATAAGTTTAATTTATGCTTGTTTCAAAGTTGTAAATCTTGTCACAATTTGATTTTAATAGAAGTCAGTTTAGCTGACAAGCTGACAGAAACACACACACTCCTCCCTACACCTCCCTCATAGCACTCTCTCACACTCTAATCGCACTTGGCAAAGTTTCTTTAGCAAACTGCTCTTTGACTGATTACGTTGAGAGCGCATTTCATATACAAAATATTTGCTTAAAAATTCCTTTATGAAACTTCATGTGCACATGAAAGAGCTTAGGGAGATTGTACATGATGCTGCAGATGGCAGAGATGCTGGAGTGAATAAGCGCAGCTATTAGGGTATTCATTATGCTTATGAGCGCTATTAAAATTTACTCTTTCTTTTTATGTTTACTCACTCAGTTAATAGCTTTATTCGTTTTCTCTCTTTGCAGGTCGGCGGCATAAAGATTAATATCAACGGGCGGAAATGTGAGTACATAATGAAATAATTTAACTCAATGTGATTCGCATACGAAATTCACACGCATGCAAAACAGTCAACCCGAAGACGAAGCAGAAGAAGAACAGTCCACAGAATAATTCCCAGTTTGTCGGCTATGAATCAAGTGTCGTTTTCGACTGCTGCATAAGAATTGAATTAATTTTTTCCTTGTGAACGCACCTTCATTATAATCCATTTAGTTTGTATAATGAGCGACGCAGATTTTCCAAAACGAAAGACTCAAGCAACGAACCTGTCGATCTACCGGGAACTTAATTGCGCCCAATGATGAAAATTATATGTCTGCCTCTCTCGCACTCTCGCACTCTTGCCCTCTCTCTCTCTCTCTCTGTCTCTTTACATGCTTTATCTATGTGGTACAAGTCGAGTTATTTAGTTAGTTGTGCGTTCTACAGTTCGTGTTCTCGTTCTTCTTCTTCTTCTACATCGAGTAGTTCTTGTTCTGGTTATTCATCTTTCTTATGGCATTTAACACGCAAACCCTGCCCCTGACTCTGCCCGCCACTGCTGCTGTTAACGAGCATTCATATTCATATACGGTTAATGTCTTTTTGTGTGTGCCCCATGCTCGCTCCTCAGACCCTGGCCTGGCCTCGCCTGGGGGGCATTAAATTGTAGCAGTCCGCGTTCTGTAATGTTTTTTTGCTTTTCTACATGCGGCGGCGCTTTAAAACATGTTTGTTTTTTTTTCTTCTCTGGCCATTTGCCTAGGTCACTGACCACAGACAAATTCACAACAGTTAACCAGCTGCCGACTTGGCCAGCAGCTCATCAGAGTCATGCCAGGCATGCGCTTTCCAGCAACCAATACCCAATATCTAATATCGAATATCTATGTATCTGGCATTGATGCATTATTTCTCTGTGCTAGAGCTAAGAATTCCAATGCAGCCAATAGAATTTGCTACATTTATATCATTGTAAAAGCTTGACGTGGCAGCTAAAGCAAGTGGCACTGCGAGATTATCTAGAAGAGCTTAATTTAAATGGGTCTTTTAATCAGAATGAGCTATAGCAGAAATTCTTTTATATGTTCAGCTTTTAGCCAAGCTTCAATGTTAATATAATCCGATATTATTAATTTTATATTTTAGCAAATAATTATTAAAATAACATACATAATTATTTATTTGATTATTTATTTAATCAGTTTTTTATAGCTTTAATTCGCAAAGTAAAGCAGATGAAAGTTAGAGTAAAAGTTAAAGCTAGCTTAACATGGAAATAGTTTAAAAATAAAAGTAATAATGATTAAAATAATTTTGACAAAAATATAAAAAATATTCTTTTTGATATTTCAATTTTTAAAAATATATATATTTTAAATATTCTATATTTCAAGTCTAATAAAAATATTTAAACTAAATTTATATCTATATTTAAATTCCACTTCCACACTAACTTCTAACCTGGCCAAAAAGTTATGGACTTAGTGATAAAATGCTTAAAAATTTAATATTTAATTTTATTGTGTCTAAAGCTCATATTTGCTAAGTAATCCATAAATTGTTGTTTTTCTCACTTAGCCAATCAATCAGTTTATAAGATTTAAATCCACTTCAATTATGTTCCTCACTAATGAAGCTATTTTAAGTGCTGTTCATTCAGTTATTCATACAACTCTGCGTAATCCTAGACTCATTTTGAATTCTCTATGAATTTCTAAACCTCATCCAATTACGCTAAAAGCCAAAGTCGCTTAAATGATGTTTGCAATTGCATTGAATACATTTTATAAATCAAATGTGTGTTTCGTTATGCCTAAAGATAATGTTTAATTGATCAATTTAGTGAGATATCAAAAACCAATTAACTTTTTTCTTTAATCAATCAACGTTTAGTCAATTGAAATCGTTTTATATAAATTGTAATCTTATTTAAATTGATTATTTCAACTGCTCGCAGTTTAGTTTTATATCTAACTAATGTTTATACGCTTTTTTTTGTAACTCATTTAATCAATCAATTAATAATTAAAAGCTTACAGTGAAATTGTTGTTTAAATTACGCTGCGAATGCAGTTGGAAAATTCTTTTATTAAGCCGCCTGGGCTCAGAGTTATTTAAATTTGTAATTGAAAAAGGCGTGTGCAAAAAAGAGTCGAAGCACTTACAATTGAATTCGCATTTGTTACTCATTTATTATTATTAATTAGCATATCAAATTCCAGGCCAAAATCAGCTTTAATGCTGCATAAGCGCTTTTAATAATTTTCGCTAGACTGGACGCGGACGAGGGCGATGGCTGGGGCACAGGCAGCAAGGGCAATTGATAAATTAAATGTGATTAATTACAGCAGCCAGTTGACAGCAGTAAACAACAATAAACAACAACAACGACAGCAATAGCAATAACAAACAATATAAACAGCTTTCAAATTAAGCCATTCGCCGAGTGGGCGCTTCTAATGAGCTGCTTGTTTTTTTGTGGCATCCACAGTTATTGCTGTTGCTGTTGCTGTTGTTGTTGATGTTTTTGCAACTGGCATTAACTGCATTTAGATAGCCACAACAAAAACAGTTTTGCATTGCATTTGTGAGTAAATGTTTTAATTTGTTTTGCGGCTACATCGAATGGCAAAAAACCCCACCACTTAAAGCAGCTCAAAAGCTGCAGTTGGAAGCTTTTTTTTTTCGTGTGGTTTGTTGAAACTGCAAAAAGCATTTGAAATGCCATTGGCAAAAAGTGAAAACTTAGCTCGGTTTGTAGATTGTTAGATTGCCATATATATGTATCATGCATATATACATACATACATATATATATATATATATATATATATATATATATATATATATTAGTTGGTATTTTCGCCATTAAAATTTCCAACTGAAACTTGAGTTGCGAATTGCCTTTTTAAGGCTTTGCTAAATAGACATACCCTGCATAGAATAACTGAGTATTCTTGCTTATTTATGGCTAATATATAAACGAGTTGGCTTAGACAAGTGCTGCATATGTCGAATGCAAAGACTTAGCTCAAGAAGAAGACTGTGCCAAGGCATAAGTCTGCTTTAAGCCGAGTTAGTCAATGTAATGAGCACTTGAGGCAGCACAGATGAGAAAGCCAGTTAAGCTCTATCAGACTTAGCTATAATAGAGAGCCAGGTTGAGTTTGTAATAGACTTCATTAGAATAGAAGTTGCTTGCAATATGATTCTGATATTCTCAGACAAAGTTTGCCACTGAAGACCTAATAAAATCATAATTAATGCTTCAAGCTTCAGCTAATAAGCCTAATAGCTTATTAGAGACTCAAATAACTTAAATTATAGAAGTTACAAAACATGATTAATGGTTTTATTTTCTAGAAATTGATATGCTGTTGATTAAAAACATATTGTGAAGCAACAGTTCTGTGATCCTTTCACTCCAAGCTGTTCGACAGTCCAAAAAGCAAAGGCCAACAAAAGTTGAAATAAACAAGAATCAGATAAAACTTTGCCAAGGTTTTTGACTTACTGAAATCGAATCTAAAACGGGGAGAAAGAAAAGAGATTTGCCTAGAGAGGGTGAGCGAGAGAGGGAGAGAGAGGCATAAGAGTTAAAAAGAGAGTAATGGGGTCAACAGCTACGACAAGAAAATGCTTGAAAAGAGAAGAACAAATGTAGTTTAGTAGAGGCCGTGACTATGTTCTATATTTAAGAAATACAACTATATATAACAAATACTCAAATGCGCCCTTAAAACATATCTTAAGATGGAAGTATCTAAATCTAAAACAAAATCAAATATCTCAGATTTGCTCTTAGCTTCAGCTGCAGTCTGTTTGCCAACAAATCTCGTTGGCCTGCCTTATCCCTTCAGTAGCATTCACTCAAGCATAGGGTATGTGAAATGTTTATAAATTCCTTATTAAACACCAGAATGGTATGCGCCCAGCAGCTGGGCTGCAGAGCAGTGCAGTGCATGGCCTATCTTTAAGGGCCATCTGCAGGGCTGTTGCAATTTTGCTGGCATTCGCCACTCATAACTGTGCTCAGAGCTGGGGCCATAAAAATAAATGTGTTGAAACATTTAAATAAAGTTTACATGCCTCACTAGCTGTGGTTTCTTTCCTGCTTGTTAACGTGTGCATGAGTGAGTGTGTGCCACATACTGTTTGCCACTCAATTTGCGTTCATGTTGAGCCACATTGATGCTGCAGCTGTGCACAGCCATTTGTTTGATGTGCTACATACACTATATATATATATATATGTATATGTATATGAGTATGAATATATATATATATATTCATAGAGTTTCCTCCATTGAAAAGTTTTTACATTAAATTGTTTGCAACAACTGAAAATTTCCAATGCCAACACAAAATCAAAGCAACAATTTTTAGTTCATTTTTTGTTTGCCAACAAATTAATTAACAGCTGCCATACACACACACACACACAAACACACACACAGTTGCTTGATTTATGTTAAATTAAGTTTTTATTAGAAAATGTTATTCGAATACTTTTGGCTTGCATTGGTGCTGGTCAGCTGCTCGCATTTAATAGCTCGTGTTATTATGTAAGCAATTACCTAAAAGAAAAACAGCTTTCGGGGTGTGAACGTCACGAGCGTGTTGCATTTAGATTGCATTTGCGGTCCAAAACTTGTATCTTTCGAATCATGCAACATTCACGCCATGCAAAACAAACAAACAACAATTGCAGCTAACGCATAAAAGTCGCCGTGGCAGCAAATGGACACAAAACATTTTTGGTGTTGGCTTTTAGCTGGTTTTGTTTGGTAACAAACATTGGTCGATAAAAACAAAGCTGCAAGCGTAGCTCGACTAGCAAATACCTGCATCAAAAAGAGAAAGTTTCAGAAGTGGCAAGAAAACAGAAGTCAAATTAGAAGTCATTTAAAGTATGCTAAAAATAAACTTAAAATATGAGAAGTTAGTATAAAACTATATAAAGTTATTATAATTAAGTAGAGTATAGATAAAACTAGATTATCTTTTCTTTAGCTAAT